TAAAGAATGCAGAGAGAACATGTGTGTGGGTATGGAGACTGAAAGTGAATCATTTGTTTGTGAGAGTGTAAGAAATGTACTACTTGCTCTTAATCATCTTTGTCCCTCTTCCTCTCTCTTTAGGACAGTCCATTGATCCTCCAGTCAGACAGAAATGTGACCGTCAATGCTAGGAATGATCAGGGACAACTGACCGGTCAGCTAACCGTGGGTAAGACAGACACACACACACACACACACACCATACAAAGACATGTCCATACACACTACATCGGCAGTAAACGTTTTCTTTAAAAACAACATCCAAACCACATCATTTCTCCCAGACAGTCAGTTATATTGCTTTGTTTGTGCTTGAATTCCTAAATGCATTTTACCTCCATCTCTTTACCAAACTAAATGCTATATTTTTCCATTAGTGTATCTCACTGAGGCTGACAGCCGTGCAATTTTCTAAACTACATCATTTTTCCGAGCTCTCATTGGATTAGTGAGGGGCCAGTGTTTTACAGAAGACGTCACTCAGAAGACGTATAACATTTGTATCATGATGCATTATTATCGGGCTCAATAACGAAAAAAAAAAGTTTCAGAACATGAATGAAAAGATGTTTCACTAATCAGATAAAAAAAGGTGTGCACCGTATGGCTTTATGAATTCCGAAGTTTTGAAGTTTCAGTTTTCGTTGAAATGGAACCTAAAACTGCACACTGATTGCATAACAGTAAAATGAACAACAAATGTGCTGATAATACCACCAAGTGGTAACATACTGTGAATATGCAGTGCGTTTCTCTTCAACAACCATGGCGGTGGCATTTGGTGCCTCTAAGTGAGGCGAGTTGCACAAACAAAGGGTTAGTGACAGAGGACCCAAGATGATGATGGCAATGGTTGGAGTTCAGAGCAGGTTAAATATAAAAGGGAGTTAACTGTGAACCTTTGTTCCTGTCTTGTTGGGATTTAATATTGTCTATTTTGAAACCTTTTCATTACAAGTTCAGTAGCCTCTGAACATGTCCTCAGGGTTAGACTTTTTTTAGGCTTTCATTTGCCACAGGATGGACCTCTTAGTAGCCATGCTGCCATGTCATTAACGCCCTCACAATATGACTGGACTTTACATGTAGTTTGGGAAAGCAGTAAGTCAGAGTGAGTTTTCACCATTCATGTCTTGCTCCCGCATTCTTTCTTGACTGTAGAGGTATTGGAAAATGTGCATCTTCTACGATTGGATTCCTGTCTGTACCCAGATAATCAAAGAAAACAGCATCAACAGCTCCTTTGAATGTGATTCTAACTGTGGACTTGCAAACGCTTGCCACATGGGAGGTACGTTAACGGAGAGTGCTGTTATTAGAATCAGACATTTTTCTTTTTTGTAAAATAGGTTATTCACTTTTAAGGAATTTGCTCTGATGTTTGGTGCAGACAATAAACATGTCACGAGGAAATAAAAACACAGTTTAACTACGGGAAAAGTCAAGAACATAAACATAGAGCAGAAATGTACAATAGAACTGTTTATTAAAGTGAGTTTTTTTGGCAGAATGAGCAAACATATTTATCAGGTTTTGTGCAAAAGTATAGAGCAAAGATATGCAATGTGCAGGGATAATAATCTAACATGTGTGTTGATGCATGTAGGTGGTTAACAGTATATGTGACTTCTCATTAGCTTTTTCATACTACACACACTTTCACTTGGCAATGTAAGTTGCAATGAAATATCTACTTTTTGGGGAATTCCTGCTGTTTATTTGCTGTTCTAATCTTGCACAAAAGTGCTTGTCACATAACTGCCCAGTGCTTGAGTTAGCCCATGACATGAGGGTTTTGCAGACCTTTGTAATGTTTTGTGGCACTGTTGTCTTTTCAATGACTTCCCCCTCCCTTGTGCCATATTTATCCTCTACAAATAAACCAAGTGGTTAGTTATCCTCCTCTGGTTTGGAGGAAACTGCTGTAAAGATCTGGCTGCTTATTGATGCCGTCAGAAACACTTTCAGATGTGATTTGTAGAGCCATAAAACGTTGCCAGTGTGTGACTGGCTACTGGAATATGTGGTTGCATTTGGAAATTAAACACGACATGCATCAAATAACCTCTCAGTATATTTCAGCCTTTCCCTTCTTTGTTACTGATTTGCATATTTGGAATTATTTATATGCTTCTTACCTGACTCATTGAGTGGTTACAGAACTAAAAGACTTCAAATCAACTATGACAAATCCATCATATCACCTGACCTTGGACCGTGTTTTGAAAACATGCTTGATCGTCATACGTTACCATCAAAAAACGAGCAAAATAATTTGTTTATCTGGTTTTGTTAGAAATTAAACTATCAATTCTTTGGGAATTTAGGATGTGTCAGATATAGAAGATCATTGCCAAGGACCACTTACAACCTGACAGGTGAGGTGAATGGTATTTTCAGGTAGAAGGCTCCTCTCCACTGTATTTCTCGTTTGAAGCGAACGCAACATGAAGATATTCATCACCTGTAGGCTGGCCAGGCACTTCTAGTGTCCTCATATGCACACACAGCCTTTCCCTTTCTGACTCTTCTAAGGTTTGAAATCCCTGACAGCTCACTTCCTGCTGTTAAAACTCCCCAAAGCCGCTTTCCTCGCCAAGAGAAGCACTTTAATGCTCATGTGTTGTCTGAGTGAGTGTGTGTCTGCGTGCCTATCTGGCCGTCAGCAGAATAAGTCTGTTTTACCTAGACAGCCTAATTTATACTATTGTGGGAAAGCTCCCGCAGAGAGAGATGGTTTGTAGAGCTCGCAGAGACGCGCCGTGCTCCTCATGAAACCGTGGACGCCACAGAAGTCTGGTTTGACATCAGGGAGATGGGTTTTCCTGACACGTACCTCCCATCCTGTTACGACAACAACCACCGCAATAGTTCTCGGCACAGCGTACTTTTTTTTTCCAGCCGTTGAATTGCGTTGGGACAAACTTATATGGAACTATTGAGTCAACTGTGAACTGGCTGACAAACCATTTAAAATCAGCAGCAATTACACGCTGCATGCAATCCACTGCAGTCCTATGTATGCCTGGCATGCACGAGATGTGCCCATACCAGCCAGCACAGAATGCATAGGCGCAGAGCTGCAGCAGTATACATCAGGCTGCTAAAAGACGACATGAAGAGTGTTGTGTCTGTGATCCCTCGTGTGCAGTCAGACACGGAGTCATGCTCTATAGTGACTGGACACATGCTGAAGTTATAAATACATAAATATTGAATTTTCTTACTGATATTCCCTTTGAGTCACACTCATGCGCACATACAGTAAACACAAAACACACACAAATCCTTACCATCTGTCACACACTCACATTCTCACACATCAGCCACAACTTTGGGTGGAGATTCCCCAGACACGAGGAGACCTGCCAAGCAAGTAGGAGTTCCATCAATAACCACTTTGTGACACACACACACACACACACACACACACACACACACACACACACACACTAAAGACCCCAGCGGCTGTCTGATGGGATGGAATGGGACAGAATCTTCCGGAGGAGCTTCTTCTATTGGGCTCCGGAAATCCCTTGGTCTCCTGCTGCCGCTCCCTCCTGTTGCCTCTGTGCTGACGCAGCAGCACATTTAACACGCACGCAAACAAACACACACACACACACACACACTCTCCTCCTCTCTCTGTCTTCAGTATCCTCACGGGGATACTCAGAAATCCTGAGAGTAAGACGGTTATTTCTCCTCACAAGACACTCACCACAAGTTCCACCTCAATAAACCCTTCATTAGTATTTACCACTGAAACTCAGTAGAGCAACAGCTCGTACTGTAGCTTGTACAAGAGGCACAGGATCACGGTCAGCGGTATGGAAAGGTGAAGCGTTTGGACTATACATTTACATAGAATACCTAGACACAGGTGTACTGACACCTTATCACCTATTGGATTGTGAAAATAGGTCATTTCAGCTGCACATAAATGGAGGGAGGAGAGTGAGACCCCAGTGTGGTAAAAACTCTGCATCTCGGGAAAAAACTAAAAAAAAAGGGTCACGATACAATTTTAAAGTGTTTCATGAGGTCAAAATGATTTATTGGCGAGTATAAATTATTAAACATAGGTCACCAAAATATCGGCTTGGAGGGAACATTGGTCCTAATTGCTCTTCTTTGTTAGGTGCTTGACATTTCCTCTACATAACAGCTTCAAAAGGTAACTGATGGACAGGGAACGAAAATTGCACCTGCCACCTGTAGGGTTAATGTTGGCTGTGGCAGGTGAAAATTGCAGGTCGCCTGCCACCATGGCATTAAGGTTCTCTTAATATTTGGAAATATTATATTCAAAAAAGCAATTCCCAAATTAGAAAGGATTAGGGTTGATTTCAGTAGTAATGTATTGGCCGGTAAACGTTCAGTGACCTGTCAGTGTGACAGACAAAAAGGAAAATAATATAAGACCCTGCTGATGGGATTTTTGGTACCTTCATAGCCAGAAATCCAGCTCTCGTTTGTGATTAAAATGACTTGTTTAGGGAGTGTGCCACACCTTTCCATACTCAGCTGAATGTTCTAAAATGGATAGAGGAACACACACATGCAGTCCTCTATTTATCTCGTGTCCCCCTGAGGGCCCATCTGTCAACAGAGAGGGTCTGAGTAGCCTACATGTGTTGGCCTTGGGCCTCCCATCTCTCTCTCTCTCTCTCTCTCTCTCTCTCTCTCTTTCATCCCCCATCCCTTCTCTTCCTCTCAATGCTCTTCGTGGCTGTCAGCTCGTTAATGTGAGTGAGAACCTGTCATCTTTGTCTTCTGAATGGCTGACCATAAAGATGATGAGTGAACTTGGGGTGTTGAAGGCATTCCCTTTCACCCGCCTAGGCGATGATGTCTCAGCAATAGAGGCGGTGCAGGGGCAGGAAAACGCAGCATGCTGTGGGATTATCATCCTCACAGGAAAAGGGAATTTCCTCACACTTATGATAGGCTGAGCAAACTTTTACTGAGCAAAGCACTAACTGCTGCATTTTGCAATATATACTGTAACTATGTGTTGGACTAACAGCTGATGTTATAAATCACTAGAGAATACAACTATGGTGGCATTATTTAATTCTATGTGTGTCATGCAGCACTGTATTAGGAATCCACTTCAATGTTTGTTGGTAAAGCAGTAGATGTCTGCTTTTACTTACGGTAAAGAAA